AATACGCTCTTCGTCTATCCTAATGAGGGATACTAATATGCTTATGATCGAGACAAAGGGTAAAGAACGGATCAAAGGAGAAAAGAGTTCAAAAGAAAAAGTATGATACATTATTTTGCAATGCTCTTCTTCCGAATTATGGGATTTACAATTCTGATCGAAGCAATTTATTTAATCCAGATGAATGTACCAAAAAAAATGTCCAGCAAGAAAAAGAAACGATTGGACAATTACATAGTAAGGAAAAGTCGCACTAATATTAATATGTGATTAGTCAATCACTAGCTGATTGTACCGTGTTTGTGATAATTGTAGAAAAAGAAACTCAAGAAGGAAGAAAGAGTTGTGTTGCTGGAAAAGCTTTCAAAATCATCCTTTTGGTCCGAGGATATGAAATCAAGCAAGCATATAGGACAAGGGGTAAAGTGACTCACTAAACAAATCCGTGATTGATGCCAAGAGTTAACGTACAGATTTGGACTGATTCCTATCCTGTTTAATCTCGTAAAGGCAGCCGCAAAGACATTGCCGGAAAAATCTCAGGATGCTAATGGTTCAAAGCCAAAGAAAATGGTGAATTTAAAAAAATTGAGAATATAGTAAATTTCTGAAAACGCATCATTATATAAAATGGTGATGCTGTTTTAGAATTGCAGCATCCCATCCTAGACTGCTTGCTCCATCTTTATTAAGCTATTTTACTCTCTTAATGATTGCATTTCAATTTGCTAAACTACCATGTTTCACAAATCAGGCTTTTTATGTTCCTGTATCAAGAGATCCCGAAATACAAAAGGCAAGAATGGAGTTGCCAATATGTCGGGAAGAGCAGCTAATAATGGAGACAATAAATGAAAACCCAACTGTTATAATATGTGGTGAAACTGGATCTGGGAAAACTACTCAAGTGCCACAGTTTTTATATGAAGCTGGATACGGCAATCCTAACAGTGGTATATATTGACATACCTTTGATAAAACGTTGATGCCATCGACAACGAGAATTGATGCTTTACTTTGATCAGATAATCCGGGGATGATTGGAATTACTCAGCCGCGACGAGTTGCTGCCGTCAGTATGTCAAAGCGTGTTGCTTATGAATTAGGATTGACCGATGAAGAAGTGTCGTACCAAGTAAATAAAGCATTATTTAGAGCATGCAATAGTTGCATTACACTGACTTACTAACTGATTACCTTACAGATTCGCTACGACACTACTACATCCCCCAAGACTGTAATTAAATTCATGACTGATGGTGTCCTCCTACGTGAACTATCCAGCGATTTTCTATTGTCTAAATATTCGGTCATAATAATAGACGAGGCTCATGAGAGAAATTTAAACACGGACATATTAATTGGTGTAGTAAGTCGTATCTTACGACTACGTGATGAATTAAGTCAGGAGCAGAAAGGAAAGATAAAGGTACGGCTTCTCCGGTAACCATATACGATTTTCGGCGTGCGATCGGTATGTGACACTTGCGTTTTTACAGCCTCTGAAGATAATTATTATGTCGGCTACGTTAAGAGTATCTGATTTCACAGAAAATAATACTTTATTCAAAATACCACCACCAGTGCTGAAGATTGAAGCTAGGCAATATGAGGTAAGAATCCATAAAACAAGTATTCATTATCGATATTCGGACGCTCATCCTTTTGCACTGTCATGAAAGGTCAATATTCACTTCAGTAGAAGAACAGCTCAATATGATTATGTTACTAAAGCATACAAGAAAGTATGTCAAATACATAGGAAATTACCCTCTGGTGGTAAGCCATGACGTTGGATGCTATTTAAACAATGATAAGAGTTAACATCTAACGTTTACTATCAGGAATTCTTGTATTTCAAACTGGGCAAAATGAAATATCCACATTATGTAAAAAGTTACGGAAACGGTTCCCGCTTACGCCACCAACAAAAAGCAGATACTCAAACGAACTCGGGCAGGAGGAAGAAATGTCATTAAGCGAAACCTTGGAAGGGATTAGGGAAAAGTTGACCGCAAAGAACGGTATGACTAGTGCTTTTGAGTCATTGAAACTACTTGGTTTGTTTATTTATGATGTACTTGAATGTCACTTCCAGCTGACGTTGAAGTGGAAGAAGTGTCTATCGGAGATTTTGATATAACAGAATCAAACGATCAAGACATTGAAGACGAGTTTGATACCTTTGATTCAGATCTAGATGAACCTAGTGAAAAAGACGAAGAAGATGAAGATCGTGAGTAAATAAAAACTGCAATATGAAATAATTGTAGCATTCTATTAATTCAACTCTTCTGTTGCTAGTCCCTCTCTACGTTCTTCCATTATATTCTCTTCTTTCAACAGAAGTTCAATTACGTGTCTTCCAACCACCACCGCAAGGAACACGTCTTTGTGTAGTGGCGACAAATGTAGCTGAAACATCTCTCACAATTCCTGGAATAAAATACGTGGTAGATTGTGGGAAAGTCAAAGAGCGTCAATACGATGTTAACACAGGTGTACAGTCGTATACGATAAACTGGACTTCCAAAGCATCTGCAGACCAGAGAGCAGGAAGAGCAGGACGTACTGGTCCTGGTCATTGTTATCGGTTATACTCATCGGCCGTATTTAACGATCAGTTTCCACAATTCACCCTACCTGAAATACTTAGAATGCCCATCGAAGGCGTGGTACTACAGATGAAATCTATGAATATTGATATTGTTGCCAACTTTCCATTTCCTACTCCTCCAGACAGAGTTCAGCTCAGAAGGGCAGAGAAATTGCTGCAATATTTAAGCGCTTTGGACGATAATGGAAGGATAACCGACTTAGGCAAATTGATGGCCCAGTTTCCAGTACAACCTAGATTCTCGAAAATGCTGATCATTGGACAGCAACATGGGTGTCTCCCATATATTATTACGATAGTAGCAGCATTGTCTGTCGGAGATCCATTCATAAGAGAAGATAATTTGGATAGTTCCAAGGATCTAGAAGAGAATGATAAAGAAACGGATGAGGTTGAGGACAAAATGCGCGAGATGGAAATTGACGAACAGGAACTCGCCGGTATTGATAACTTGGATATTGCTGAGAAAGAACGTCGTCGACTAAGAAGAAAGAAATTTTATGAAGTTCATATGGTGAGTTTGTCGATGTATTCTGATTACTACTGTAATTGCATTCGTTAATACTATTATCGAATCTGATACTATTCCTAGAAACATGCTGGACGTGATCCGTCAAGTGATTTCTTGAAGTTGTTAAACGTGGTTGGTGCATATGAATATGCTGGTGCAACTGATAAGTTCTGTGAAGAGAACTTTGTTAGAGCAAAGGTAACTAAGAATGTTCACGACAATGAGTCTAAATTTAAGATTTCTAAAACGCATTTATTTCAATAGACAATGTATGAAACACACAAACTTCGTGGTCAAATAACAAACATAGTGCAAGTAAACTGTCCAGGAGCAAATGTATACGTAGATCCAAAAATGGGCCCTCCGTCATCGCTACAGGTAACTAAATGCTGGTTATTCATTAGTTGTTATTTATGATTTGCATTCGCTAAACTTTCTTCTATGGTTTCAGCTGAAAGCTATTCGTCAGATAATAACGGCAGGATTCATTGACCAAGTAGCAATCAGAAAGGGACTGCTAGATAAAACTGCTAACACATATTCATCTACACGTGGAATAGCCTATAGGATTATGTTGACAGATGAAGATGTATACATTCATCCATCATCTGTACTCTATCATCAGAAACCACCTGATTTTGTAGTTTATCAGGAACTACAGAGAACAAGTAAAGTATGGATGAAAGGTGTGTACACAAACTTATTATAAATGAAATAAGAATAACAGTATATGGTTAAATTAATTTAATTGATTTTGGGTTGCAGGTTTAATGAAGATAGAGCCGAGCTGGTTGTCAAAGATTGGAAAGAATTTATATGTTAAGACGAACTACAGTATGTTTCTGACGTGAAACACCATCATACACTCCCTGGAAGAAAGTAACCGATGAGAGTTTTTTTAACTATATGCAAATCCGGTGTAATAATAATAGATCAGTTTGTGGCTTAGTATTAGGTTTCAAGAATCTGTAAAATTTGAAGCGCTCAAGTAAATTAAAAAAGGCAATTGCGATTTTTCCAAGTTTTAATTTTATATTGAGTTGGCGTTCATTACTGCTTATTGATACTTACTGCCTAAGTCTTCCTGGTGATCAATTGGATTAAGATTGAAGCTTAACATGAAAATCTTTTGAAAAAAACGCAAGTTACCTATTTGCTAATAATCTATTTAGCCGTTTTTATAAAGAGTTTTTTTTTCTTTTCTTTATGATAATATCTACTACTTGAGAGTATGTATCCAGAAACATGTGATTAAGACATTAACCAAAAATTAACCGTTTTTTTTTTTTTTACTAATAATGCAACACATTAATCTACTCAAAACTAAAACTTAATTGTACGCGTGATTGAACTGAATGTATTACGACGCGGAACAATTCGAGACATTTATTCCTCTACATTCGAGACCATTTTCTCCTCGTAGATCAGAATCTTTGATTTCAATGAATGCTGTTTTACAGGAGATTGCTGATAGATGGTTTGGGAAATTGGAAACAACGAATCTAAGCTTTATCTCATCAAACATAATCTTAAAAGGTGTAGAGGGATAGCGAATATCCAACTATTTCTAAGAGACCGCTACGAATAGATAGTAACGCCAAAACACACAACCGAGAACGCGTATCAAGCATTATGTTGTTTTGAAAAGAATGGGTATTTTTTATTTTTTAGAATCAATGTGGAGATATTATATGTAGTTCTCTGCACCATCTTTTCAATCGTATACATGTTCTGATATCGAGCAGGTTTTAGAGCTTTAGACTCCTCCGTTGAAGCTATCCCTTCACTACTGTAGTCTCATTAGAACTCTGATCATTGTTCTTACTTACTCTCCTTTGCTTTACATCCCAGTTATATATTCTTGCTACATCTTTAGTTGGATAGATACTAAGGACGAAATAGCAGGAAACCACGTAATCGCAAAGTTCGATACAAATATTTTATACCAAATAGAAAAAAGGATACTGACTTCCATTGTCGTTATTTGATCACGTAAGAATTCGAGATCCTCAAGCACGTTTTTGAGTGTCGTCTGTGCGGTATTGAGTTTTTGTTCTAAAAGATCTTTTGCTTCTTGCAATGTGTATTCCAGCATCACGTTTGCCTTATATAGTTCAACTTTTAATAAATTAAGAGAACGTAAAAAGTTATCTGAGATAGAATCAACATACCCCTAGCCATAAATTCACAGTCTTCGTTGATTTCATTTTAGCAGCAGCCCAAAGTGTATCGTTTAACTCGAACGCTGTCTCCATTGGTTCATCGGAGCCCTACAAAAATTAAATCTGACACATAAATGTATGAAGATTTCGCCTAGCGTCCTAATCAACTACGCACCTCTTTTGATATTAAATAATTGATAACTGTGAGAGTCTTTTTGATTTCCGGTATTTTCACCTCAAGTCCCTTCTTTCGATTCTGTAGATTTATATCCATAAATTTATATTTCCTGGATGATCGATAGTGTAATCAATCAGGTCGTTATGTCTTATTCTAAAGAATGGTTTACATAATTCAGATCACACGAATGCTTACGCTACAGTTTCTGAGAATTTTGACAGAGTCGTCTCAACGGACGTCGTTGACTTTTCCATATATTCGCCGACATCGTCCTATAACAAACTTCTTAGTTAACCAAATAATAAACTATATTTTCTTGTCAGGTCAAAATATCATCCGCTGAATCAATCTAGGATATGACCAGACAATCCTTTGGAAGAAATGCTAATATACCCATACAATACCACAAAATGAGCTTTAGGAATTCCGCGTGGATTGGTTTCGAGAACGATTTCCGACGACGGACCACCAGTAATAGGTCCTTCTGACTCTTCCATTCTTTACACAACCTGTAGACCATTGAATTTTAACTCACAAGAGGGCATGTAGCTAATTATCATTCTTGTTCATACCTGAGAATAGATCCAATAATCGAAAAAATGAGTTGCATGCAATATGTAGATCGTTTTTCGTCTTCCAAGCGCATCTGCCAATGAAATAGCCACGATCGGCGCTCAATTACTATATATAGCTGATACAGTCCCCGGTCAATTTTTGGGACGTAATGAAAGATAAAAATAAATCAAAAAATTCTAATGAAAGCCAAACATTAGGGCTACAAATTTTATTAATTACTTAATATTGAGTATGGCCTCCTTCAGCATCAATACAAGCTTGAATTCTATTTTTCATACTACTAATGCTGTTAACTATGACATTTTTCTCGAGACCATCCCATTCCTCCCTAATTAAATTTAAAAAAACGGACTGAGATTTTTACTTTTTCGCCACCATTTTCTTAATGCGTTTTTCAATATTATGCTTCAGAACAGCCCAGACATTCTCAATTGGATTGAGATCTGGACTGTACAAAGGCCAAGGAAGAACATGTCATGGAAGATGAGATTTCAAGTCATTGGGTCATTATCCTGCTGAAATACCCAGTTGTAACCCAGCAAGTTATCAGCATTATCATATAAATGATTGTTGAGGATTTCCTGATATAAGTGGTGATTTAAATTCTCTGTGAATATGTGCATTCCAATTTTCCCCTTAATGTTAATCACAGCCCAAACGTGAGTTTTAAAGAGGTTGAACAGGTTTTTTTTTGCATGACCATGCACAGGTTGTATTGCAAAACATTTGGATTGTAGTTTCATCAGAAACCCCCACTTTATTCCAATTGTAATGCGAGTGATCACGTGCCCAAGTTAGACAGTTGGCTTTCGCTTGCTGCATTCAAACAGGCACTTTGCATGGTAGAACTGAAGTAAACCCAATCTTGTTAAGACTTCAGCGAATAGTATGCTTACTAACATCTAACTCTGGGTATTTTGTTTCCAGCATAGTCTTCAATTCATTAGACGTCGTGAAGTGGTTATGTTTAATAATCATTCCAATTTGGCAATGTTGTTCAGGAGATAATTTTCGTGGTTGGCCAGATCGATGAAATTTTGGGCAATTGACCATTTTTTCAGAGCATGGAAACATGACACTCACAAGAACATAAAGGAATCCCAGTTTTTTTTTTTTTTTGAAATTTCTTTTGCATTACGAACGTTTTGTTTCCAAAAGACTTAACAAGTTCACGGTTTGTTTTAATAGGTGTAGGTGCCATTTGAAAATTAAAGTGAGCGTAAAGACAGTTTGTACATTTGCGTTTTATTGTTTATATTTTAAATTACTGTTGTCCTGCTCAATTTGGTGTTAGTAAACAAACGCCTAAAACGCGATATCAAGATGCTATCAACAAAAAACAAAATCGCGTACCCACCGCCATTACTTTTGTCCAGTACTGTAAGTGAATTTGATTAATTAACCATTCCGAGAAAGTATTTATTTTTCAGATAATTAACTAACTTTATGATTATTTTGTTATAGACTTGAAGTTCCAATTGAAAGCAGTAAACGCAGCCGGAATACCAACATTAACCCACTCGTTGATAAGGTTTGTCTGCAAAACGTGCAGATGGTTTAGCTCGCCTCTGGGAGAACCGTGAAGAAAATTTTTTATTTGAACAGACAGGACCACCGGATTATGACGATCTCACAGAATTTTGTCTTCATGATTATAAGTTAACTAGGACTATGTGTGACATATTGAATCAAAGAATAAATTTTCACCTTAATATTAATGATGGAACATGTGATAAAAAAGATCTTGCTAGTTTCAGTGCTTTAGGTTACCGCAATGAAATACCTTTATATTGGTGTACAATACATCAAAAGACATATTGTTTACATAAATTTGGAAGTTTCAAGATTCCGCATCTTTGGCAAGATCTTCCTGTGCTATCCGAAGCGATTACAATATGCTTAAAATTTTTTGTGAGGATAATAACAATAAAACTTTGTATAGTTCTTTCCAATTCTTCACTAATAATAGTTTTACATTTAGTCTTTTATGAAGAAAATACTGAAAAGCGAAAATTAATCACAGACCTTCAGCAAAAATTGTTTGCTAAGCAAAAGGTTCTTGCAGTAACACCAAATCCACCAACTCCTGATAGATAAAAAAAAAAACGAAAAGAAATGAGTGACATTTATAATTTCTGTTAGCAAGATAAATCTATTGGTATTTGTGTTAATAAAGATTTTGTTCAAAGACTACATATTGTATAAACAATTATTTTTTCATGTTTAACAATTCGATTGTACAATATTTGCAATGGAAAATTTGTCCATCACAGATAAATACCTATTTATTAATTTTTGTTGCTTTAATACACATTTTAAATAAATAATAGGATATATATAATCTCTTACTATTACTAAAACATGCAATCCGAGATTGATTCATTGAGACAATGAATTTCTGAACTTGAAGCCAAAAAGGTTGAGCTTGAAACCAAGAATGCCAAGCTTTTAAAACAGATTATGGAAGAGAGCACCAAACACGAAGCTGAAAATGCTGAGCTCAAAGCCAGGATCACCAAATTGGAACAGATTGCAGAAGAAAATACTGAGCTTAAAGATAGAATCATGAAATTGGAATAGAAACAGATGCAGGCTATTACTAATAAACAGGAGCCATCTCCTACAAAAGTTCACCAACTTATCAAGAGCCATTCTGATGGGGAGAAAGGTATTACTCCTAATCCCTTGCCTAAAATAGAACATAGTAATAGCTCAACCCAATCTGAATCTTCAATGGAGCCTGAAAAATCTACCTCTTTACCACAAGATATTATCAATGACAATTCAGCTGAGATCCTAGATTTTGTAGAAATGATACATAAGGAAAGGATTAGTGGTGAGATAAGAGAAAGGAACCAGGAAAAAAAACTTCAAGAATCTCATAATAACTTAACCAACAGTAACACCTGAATCTCTGGACTCGAAAATTGTGAAAATGCTTTGGGATCAGAATCAGCAGAGCTGGCATGGCCAAAATAAAAGCCTGGACAAAACATCCCAATCACACAAGAAAAAGGGAACAGAGAATATCGCCCAGGTAATAGCTGATGGCATTCAAGATTCAGATTCAAATCATGTGTCTGAAATTTCAGCGACGGCCCGTCGTCAAAATTCTGATACAATCTCATTACTCGATTTAGCTCAATTATTTGATAAAGCAACTAATGCTGAATATTATGCTATGAAAGCTAACCAGGAAGAAACCTTATGCTGGTCAACTATGGAAAAGAATTCATAATTCAGTATAATGATCTTACGCTACGTGGAGTGCAAGGCACTCTAAAAAATAGTAATGGCAAAATTGGCAAGAAGAAGGCGAAGGGTATAATTTATGATAAAATATTAGAACATCTTACTATTATCCAGTCCAAGGAAATGGGATTACAACTTCCAGAAATCTCGTGTAAAACTTTATGTAGAAAAACCCAAAGGGCTATAAAGACTTATAAATTATGCGGTGTACCCCAGGTACAAAAGTTACACTTCAGATCTCAGATCTCAGACCTCAGACCTCAGACCTCAGACCACTATATATGTATATCCTTTTTAGATCACACTTATAAGGTAGACGGGTAATTTGGCGCTACTAAGTGAAATTTTATTAACCGTTTATAACTTTTGGAACATATTTATAATGCAAATAGAAAAGGATTGCAAAATGGTGCCGTTCCATAAATGGTCCTTAAAGTCGAGATTTTAAAAGCATAACATAAGAGATATTCAGATTTATTAGATTTATTACAGAAAATTTAATTTTCTATTTCTGTCGATTTTAGCAATCATCTTATTCCGTGTTATTTCTTTCTAGCATTGTACCTATAGTAAAACGCCGTAAATTTAAAGAATGGAAACACATTATGGACACATATTATATACAAGTGGCTCTCGATATAAGAACCCTTCGACATAAGTGTTGTATGTCAGATCGGAATAATACAGAGAATTAGATATAACAACGTTTTATTGAATAATATATTAATACTACTGCTTCATAACCAACTGATATTGTTGCTAATTGTGAACGCGAAGGGTTAACCATGATGTTCTCATCATCGATTCACTAGTGGGCTTGTGTGGTTAGATAGTAAATGTAGTAGTCAATGTTGTGTGGATCTAATCGTACGACGATTGCTTTGACATTATTGGTACAATTTTTAGCATTATGGTTAGACTGTAAATGTAGCCTAATCATACGATGATTTGCATTGAAACTATTGGACAGTATGGTTACATCGGTACAAATTTTTGCGACGGTGATTTATATTGAAAAGACCGTATTATAATTTTTACCCTTACTATTAGAATGTAAATATGTCTATTTGATGATTTTACATTATGATTAGATTGTATAGCAGATATTAATATTTGTCTAACTAATATACAATATTGCAATTTGACAGATTAACGGAGACTGATAATGACAATTCAAACTACAATTAACTGCCGCTTGACAGAAATAATTTAATGAGACTTGAAGTATTGACTCTGATTTCGATAACGTACAATTGTTTGTATAATTACTTGCAAACATTATAGGTTAATGGTATTTCGAAACTTAACGATAAAATAAATTTCAACCTACTTGAACAACCTGGATGTCCTTAATGCGTTTTCGATTAAGTACATTCTCAAAACGGTCAAAGGCTCACCTCATAAAATTCCAAGATAATGAAATGATTGTCGATGAAATGACCTGTCGGTGAAATGCGAAACATAACGTCTGCGAAGATATTGGTATCCTTTCAGCAAAGTTTAATTTTTTCGTGTGCATACAAATATCTAATAAGCATAAGCATAAGACAATGCTAAAGCAAAATGGCAGCTAGATTCATAAACCATGCTATGCTTCCGATACTACAACAGTATATGATTATAATGACTATAAATTTTGTTTTTGATCCTTATCGGCTCCGTTATAGTGCATTATTATTATTGAAAATTTATAATTCTGTAATTTGCGAAATTACCCCTTATTCGCCAAATTACTCTGGTCTACCTTATACGGAAATCAAAATTGACGCCAGACCTGAGATCTGAAGTCTGAGTTCTGAGGTCTCAAATCTCAGGTCTCAGGTCTCAGGTTCCAAATCTCAAATCTCAAATCTCAGGCTTCAGACCTCAGACCTCAGATCTCAGACCTCAGACCTCAGACCTCAAACCACTATATATGTATATTTTTGTCCATCCTTTTTAGATCATACTTATAAGGTAGGCGGGGTAATTTGGCGCTACTAAGTGAAATTTTATTAACCGTTTATAACTTTTGGGACATATTTAATGCAAATAGAAAAGGATTGCAAAATGGTGCCGTTCCATAACAATTACAGTCATCCCTCGTTTATAACCCCCCCCCTATTGTAACCCACCCTCGGATATATCCCAGCTTTGGGTTTCCATTATATGTCAGTATAAATTTCCCTCACTTATATCCCAATCGATATATCCCTATCCCCAAATTTTCACAGAGCCCAATTTC